TGGCGATGCGGCGACGACAAGCAAGACTAAGTAAACCTTATCCAAATTTCAGGGGCGATACGCTGGTATTGTATGAGTATGAAGAATGAATAAATCTAGTAGTGAGATTTTAAACTGCTTCGAGTTCTTTGGTGAGGTGCACTTGGTGAGGATCTCAGACGGCGGATACATATTAAAGCTTAAATCTTATTAGTGATTTGTATGCGAGTAGTCTTACTTCCTGAGGGGCGTGGCGAGTTGACGTTTCAGGAATCCCAGGGTTTTGTTAGCAGATGAGGTGAGGTTAGTAATATTCGGCTTAATCTACGGTCTCGGTGGTGATAGTATAGGGAAATAAGACCATTACGGCGGCGTTGAAAGGACATAACTCTACAATTTGTAGAGTTAAGGGAAATTAGCCAGCGGCCGGACCATACAGCCCGTGATTAAGGTCGTTTTGGAGGGCTGATTGGTCTGATGCGTTAGTGATTGAATGGTAGATGAAGGAGTCTGCAAACATGCGAATATGAGAGGACAAATGTTGCGGTAAATCACTAATGTATATTAAATATGAAAGCGGACCAAGAACAGACCCACTGATGACACCCGATGTGACTGGGATGAGGTTAGTTGACTGATTATAAACTAGGACGGTTTGGGAGCGGTTGTTAAGAAATTCTTTAATCCATCTTAAGATATCATAGTCTTATACCCCATTCATACGACCGTAAAGGTACCTTTAGCTAAGGCAACTTTATTCTCTGCGGCCAATGTATTAACGATCTTCCGCGCGTGGCATGTGCTCGCGACCCAAGAGCACGGGCTGATTCGCCGATAGCAAAGGGACCTATGTTTTAGCAGCAAGCGTTTATAAGGTACTTTGTCAAATGCTTTTAAAAATCTAAAAAAATGTCAGTTCGTATGTTACAGTCGAGATTCATGTGCAGATCGCGAAGGAAGAGAGGTAGCTGAGTTTCGCAGGTAAATCCTTTAAGAAAGCCATATGCAAAGAATGGAAGAAGTTGATCGAGTCCACAAAATGCATGACGTGAGTGAAAATGACGTGTTCAAATGATTTTGCAAGCACGCTCGTTAGAGAGAGAGGGTGGTAGTTTATTGTGGATTCTTTCCCATGAAACGACTTTTCCCAAAATTTAGTCTTCTGATATGTTACCTGTTGAAAGTGAGTAAGAAAATAACAAGCACAAACATGCTGCAGGGATGTGCTTAGTGTTTTTTTAGAAATTCGGAACGGATTTTGTTTACACCGGCTGAGGATGACAGTTTCATGTTATCGATTACTGACGCAATACCATCAGAATAAAAATACGAGAGACTTTATACACTCGGTGTTGGTAGGTAACATCGTAAATGACACATCAAATTTTGCAATGAAAACGGATGAAAACGCGGTGCTGTAAACAGTTGCACATTTAGCATAATTCAAAAGTTTGACCGATTCATTGGTAATGTCATCAGCATGCTTTTGCCGAGGGCTTATCACTTCCCAGAATTTTCGGTCGTTTTTAATCAACATGTTTGTCAAGTCCACGTGAAAAAAAGTGTAGTTGGCGTTTTGGGTTGCTGCTAAATATGCACCCTCAGCCGCGTAATAGTTTCCCCATGCACTAGGCCCAGCCGTCAGCTTGGCTAAACGGAAAAGACGTTTTTTTTCTATTTTTTTAATCTTTTGAGGCTTTTAGTGAACCACGGTTTTTGTTGATCTTCGTGGAAACCGAACAAGGGTTTAAAGTATTCTGGTGCGTTTAACTTACTATTAAAGATCAACCAATTTTCATGAATTTACCGGTTGTAAAATGTAACTTCAAAAACTGGGAAGAAGGTGTTCAGCTCGTTATTTATAATTTCATAATTTTCTTTATTGTACAGGCGAATTATTTTCTTTTTGGTATTACGTTTTGTAGGGGTAGGCTCAAATACAGCATGAAATAACTTTGTTGTCACTAATCTCTCAAAGGTAGTTTATGGATGATAGACAGTTAGGTTGATATGTTAATATGAGATAAAAAAATATTTGCAGATTCGCGAGCAACGCGCGTAAGTTTTGTTATCATCTGGGTGAGACTAAAATTGAGAGAAACCTCATTAAATTTTCTGGATTCTGGGTTGCTTGCAGTTAATGGCGATGGGTCAATCCAATCATTAGTGGGGAGATTAAAGTCACCAAAAAGAAGAATAAGTGCATTTGGGTTCTCTGCAAAAAGTTGACATAGTTGGTCGTTTAGTATACTGGAAAATTCGGTACTGTAATTTGGTGCTCTGTAGTAGATGACCAGTACTACCGTTCCCGGAGAAGCCCGTAGATGAGCCAGAATGTTTCAATTTTACATGAAATGGTAATGAGAGAAAAGGACAACTGCTGGCTAACGGCGATGAGTATAAATCCACCTCGTGTGCCTTTACGATTATTTCAAAATAGGTGGAAATTCGGCGAGACAGCCAGGACTTAAGCGTCAGGGACGCCGGCAGGTAACCATGTTTCAGATGGTAGTAATCTATTGCTGCCAGAAGACGACACGAGATTAGATACGAGATCCCGTTTCGAAAGGAAGCTCCGTATGCTGGTGAAGATAACGGATAAGGACGTATTTACAAGAGGGGTGAATTTAAGATGGTTCATTGGATGCCGATAGATTGGTTACCCTTATGCAATTATTTTACAATTCGTGACAGCTCGTCAAACATATAACGTCGCTTGCCAATGAGTAGTGTTTTGTAGCGTAGCGAACATGAAGCTGCCCTGTATTTAGCAAATGTAACTAAGTGCTTCTGTGCGTTTTGGAAGGTGCGCAAGAAATCTTCGCCAATGATAAAGGCGGTGACCTTTAACTTACCGCTGTTCGAAAGAATAGCCTCCTTAGTATTAGAAAGCGTTAGTTTTTCGATTAATGGGCGACAGCGTCTGTTTGTGTGATTGCCGATACGGTGAGCTCGCTCTATATTTCTAGGTTCAAGGGTCACATGGAGGTGATCAGAGCATAACTGAATTACCTTTCTTCAGACAGGACATAATTAAGTCTCGTGTTGAACGGGATCAGGAACACCTTAAAATAATAAATTATTTCTCCGCGAACGATTTTAGCATCGTCCATCCATGCGTTCATCTCGAAAACCATATGCGCTGTTTGAGTGGTATCAGTGCGTGCCGTCTCGAGGTCAGATTGCAAGGTTTCAATTTTTTTTCGAAATGAGCCTCTAGTTCGGCCATTCGCTTATTAAGATTCGGTATATTTCGGTCCGTTGTTTTCAGTTGGGCTTTGAGGACTTGTAGCTCAGAAATTATCTGAGCTTGCACGACAGACAGCTTTTTTTTTTTAATTCAGCAAGTATTGCTACGGTAGGTTTTGGGTTGGTTTCCATGTCCCCGGACAACACCACCACCACCCAAAAAAACATGACTTCAACACACTCAACGGCAATAGAAGCACAACACTGCGGGCTCGGCAGCTGTACGAGAAAGTAATCACTTGATTTTCTAGAAGAAATAACATACGGTTTACTAACCCGCTCAGCAAACATTAGTAGATTAGTTGACTGTGTCGCAGCAGAGCCACCGAGCCTACAGAGCCACGCGGGAAGCTGTCGTAGCTTTATAGTTGACATGGCTGCGTCCGTCGATGATGATGGCGCTCTTTCTGCTGGGTCGAGGGTAGACATGTACACGTTACCTACAAAAAGTAACAAAATATCGTTACTCCTTACTCGCTCAAAAAGTAACTAAGTACGTTACTTTTTACTGATTCTCGAGAGGAACGCGTTACTTTACCTCAAAAAGCAACGAGTTACTTTTCACGTTACTTTAATGAAGAAATACACAACTGTTTTTGTTTCATGGTTTATTGACTTCTTTTTAGTAGTCGTTGCACTTAAGCCGTAGCTGTCTCTCGAAGTTGTTTTCAGTTATGTTTCCCTGCTTCCTTGAAAATACAACTCCGGCAACACCGAAGAGTCGTAATACCGACGCGCTCGAAGGAACGGCAGTGTTGTGTTTCAGCAAGAGCTTGTGGATCGGGGATTCCTCTCTCTCTTGTGTTCCTTCTACTTCCAAAGTTCGAATTTGACAATGGACTATGCGCCTTCCTCCGTTGGCGACCTCCGGGTTTACACTCGGTCCGTACTCGGTTCTAGAAGGTGCAACCAACGAACCTTAGTGTAGTCGCTGCGTGAAGGACATTCCCAGCTGTAGAGTTCCGTACAGCAACGTTTATCGCTGGACACGTCAGTCGAACTGTTCGACTGACGTGTTCAGCGATATACTTTGTTGTAATGTCATACTGTTTCGTTGTTTTTCGGGTTGCCCACCTACCCTTCTCGCAATAGACACATACTCAGGCTAGAATAAAAAGGAGCCCGTTCAAGCAGTGTTGTACACATTATTGCTCAAAAGTAACGAGACACCGTTACTCGTTACTTGGCCTTAAAAGTAACCAAATATGTTACTCGTTGCTTTTCTAGAAAAGTAACTAAATACGTTACGCGTTACCAAAAATTTTAACTAGGTAGAAGTAACACGTTTCTTAAAACGCGTTACGTACATGTCTGGTCCAGGGTGTAGTTTCCGGTCGAGGGAGTTGACGTTGACACACGAGCTGTCACGCAGTGGGAAGACAGATGAGTCACCGCTATTGCGTCCATAGCACGTAGGCACACATTCTGAGGTGACGCTCGGGAAGGCAGAGTAGGGCAGGGAGCAGCACACGTGTGATGACGGAGGAAAACACCTGCATATTGAAAGCGAGTGGATGAGTTGACTGTGTCGCAGCACAGCCGCCGAGCCATCCCGACATGTCTGCATATTAATTACATTTTAACTTCTACAGAATATGTCTAGACTACATGTCTGCATTTTAATTATAATCTGTCTCTTTTTTTTCATAATTTTTGTTGTAAGTTTACATTCGCGTGGCTGAATATGAAGACAACTCGCCGTCCACCGCCAGGGTTATTTTTCTATATAAAACAACGCGAGCGCACCGAAACCCCACGTGCACTATCACACTTCAGCCAAGACACTCCAAAGGGACCAACCTACTGAAAACCATGACGACTCTGGTGAGATGCATCAGTTTTGTATATTCTGCTTTTTAAATTATCTACGGTGTTTTGAACTTATTTGCTTATCAAAAAGATTGATTTTTGTATTTTTGAATTTTAATTTAATCTACTGAATGCGACATTCAGTATCTGAAAATATACTGAATGAGACATTCGGTATAAAAGATTTAGGAAGATATCGAATTACAACACAGACTTGCCACTTCAATTTATCATTTACATTTTAATTTAAAAGTATCTAAATGCACTAATTGGCGAAGAACGATCCTAAAATCGGGGTAAAATATACCTGCCATGTCGCAATTTTTAGACGTTGGGAGCCTCAAAATGCCATCTGGAATTTTGGCTGTTACTTATATTTGAGGAACTAAACTATAAACGTTGTTATATTTCACGCCTACTTAGGACGAATGTTAAGTTATTCTTGTAATAATAATAATAATAATATTTATTCACAGGAAATATATACAAAAACAGGGATCTGGCCCACAAAAGCAGGGGTGTGCTTGTGTGTGGGGCCAGGCAAACGACGGAACGCATCGACATGAGGAAATCGGAATCAAATTGCACAACAGAAAAAAGGCACTTAGAAGTTATGCAGTTAGACATATTACAATTAATTAATTAAAGAATGACACCAGGTTTTAAGTTTGAATTTTTTTTTAAGGATGTCATAGCTATTAAAAATTGAGGAAGTCTATTAAATAATGTTGGAATATAATGATTTCTTGTTCTTTTTCCGTAGTGGGTGTATACTTTCGGGACAACATATCTTTCTGTATGTCTTAAGACTCTGGTTTTGGCCACTTTATTCTTAAAAGTCTTATTAAAAAAAGTTTTACGTGATTGTAGCAAAGATATGAAATTTTTCAAAAAATAAAATACCCAGCTTTGCCACCTTTTCCTCCATTTCTAATGTTTCGTACCCAGTTCCATAGGTGATATGGTTCACAATCTGTTTTAATACCCGATCTATCGCAGTCATTTTAGAACGAGAACAATGACCATATACAGTGATACCGTAACGCAACGTCGATTCTACTAGTGATCTGAAAACTAACAATCTTATTCTTAAAGAGCTGACAAATTTTAATTTATACATGTTGGCAGATATTACACGCAAACGTTTTATTATGTAATATATTTGTTCATTCCACAACATGTGCTCGTCGAAATAGATGCCTAGGTATTTAACAGACCTGCTATACGGCAGAGGCAAACAGTTGCAATTATGACAATGAGCTGTATGAAGGAGAATACATGGAGACAACTGAACACGTTTATGCGGATTACGGAAACAGACAAGCTTAGTCTTAGGAACATTCACAGAAATCATGTTAACAGCAAACCAAAGCAATAATGTATCAACGTCTTTTTGAAGTAGAGAAACTGAGTTTTCATAGTTATCAGATGGTAGCAATAACACTGTATCGTCTGCATATTGGAAAATTTCCGAAGCAAAAGGCAAGCAACCGAGATCGTTGGTGTAAACATTATATAACATGGGTCCCAATGTACTACCCTGCGGTACTCCACAATCGACTGAAATTTTATTACTCACGTGGTTCATAATTTTTACCATTTGAAATCTATCCGTGAAATAACTCTCGAAAAACTTAGAAAACGGACCTCTAAACCCTAGTTTTTCTAGTTTTTGTAAAAGTAAAGAATGGTCAATGGTGTCGAAAGCCTTTGATAGGTCAATTAATAGGGCTAACGCGGTTTTGTTATTATCTATGGCATCATGAATGTAGTCAGAGAAGTCCTCAAGCAATGTTAGTGTACTCCCTTGCTGACGGAAACCGTATTGAGTTTTGCTTAGTAAAGAAAATTTTTCACAGAAACTGCTCATAGCCATATGAACCCATTTTTCAATTATGTGCATCAGCACAGGCAGGATAGATATAGGCCGATAACTTCCAAGGTCTTGTTGCTTTCCCTTTTTATACAGAGGCCTTATAATAGATACCTTAAGCTTTTTGGGGATATCACCGGTGTGGAGAACGTCGTTTATTATTTTAAGCAAGATTTCTTTTAGTTTATTAAAATTATAGCGTATATCTCGAATTCTTATCTTATCAATGCCGGGAGATTTTGTCAAAGACATAGAATTTATAATCATTAGGAGGTCATGCTCTGTCATATCTGGAAGGTAAGCTGAATTAGCGCAAGTGACTGGGGTTGTAATACCTTTTGATGGTACCACGGGTATGTTACTTTTCAGTTTTTTTACTGAGTCAATGAAAGTATTGTTGAAGGATTCCGATAGGCCCTCCCATGAACTTGATCCACGGAAGTGTTTCAGAATAGTGTCATCAATATTATTCCTCGTTTTTCGACCTGTTAGCTGGTTTACAAGTTCCCATGTTTTCTTCGAGTTCTTATTGGCCGCATTGAACTGGTTAATACAATATTTCTTTTTTGCTAAACGTATTTTTGATGTAACCCTATTTCTAAATTCGCGAAATTCTCTTTTGAGGAGGCTGTCAGCTGGATTTTGTTTGCATCTGTTCCAGAGTCTCTCTTTCTGGTGGCACAACTCTAATATTTCATCGGTTATCCAAATATTTTCTGCTTTTCTTCTTTCCAACTTCACCCTTTTCGTAGCTTTCACGTAAATATCATGAAATTTGTCAACCACAGTGTCGTAGGCAATGATGTGATTGTAGTCTAAAAGTGATTTCCAATCAAATTGCTGAATAAGGCTGTCAATGAGCTTACTGTTTAAAATAGTCCTATAGGCTTCATCCGGCGTTGAATTTTCGCTTGTGTTTTCTCCTAGGACTAAAAGAACCGTAATGTAGTGGTCGGCTACTTTTTGTTTTATTACACCAGAGAGTGAGTGTAAATTAGAAATTCGAATGATTATGGGATCAATACATGACTTCGTAAGTTTCGTTTCATAATATTCTTCCCGCGTATAATTATTAATTGTGTTTTCTAAACCAAAGGAGGCAAGAGTGTCCAGGTAGCGTGAGACTCCCGGCCTTGCCTCATCTAAAACGTCAATATTAAAATCGCCCGCAATAACTAGGTGCTCGTTATTATCATATTTCTTAAGTGCTTCAGAAAATTCGTCGCAGAATAGTTGCACATTGGAACTTGGTGGCCTATATAGGGCAAATATCACGTAGGATATATTAATTTTATATATCCTGACAACTAGTGTTTCTGCATGCTGGAATGAGACATCTAAATTATCTGAACACCATGCATCGCTTACAAACATGATTAAGCCACCACCCCTTCTCCCCTTTCGGCACAAAGAGTGGGAGTGGAAACCCGGTAAAGTAAACCATGTGCACGCTGACTCATCTGTATTTACCTCGCTCAAGATAAGTATGTCAAAGGTTTGCAATCGGTTAGTCATAAGCATCATCAACTGATCCCAGTGCTTATGAATGCTTCTTACGTTTAAATGCACTAAGCTTAGCCTGTGATCCTTGCAACCTTCTATTTGCATCAACTCAGTTACGTGAGTGTCCCAAAATCTGAAAGATTCAAATGAGGACTCCATTATTACCTAATTTTCACTAAGTCCCGTTCACTTTCAATATGAATGACAGCGGATCCCTCCTTTTGCCGAACAAAAATTTTCCCGTTCCTGATCCACGTAAACGTGTAACCCTTGTCTTTGGCGTATCTCTTTGTTTCCCACAGTAAATCTTTAGTGTTCGAGTCAAGTTTTCATTGATGTAGATTCTTTCATTACGAAGGGTAGATCGCTTTTTTGCCCAGCTATCCCTTGTATTCCTGTCTCTGAACCTTACCAGAATAGGTGCAGTTTTGCCTTCTTTTGTTTTCAGCCTGTGGGCTGCCTCAACGTCTTGTAAAGTTAGCTTAGGGAGTACCAGTTTGGAAGAAATGTGGTTAAGTATATCTAGGAGGTTTTCGTTGGGCTGCTGGCTTACTCCGTGAATTTCGATGTTTTGACGTCTAGAATACTGTTCAGCGTTATCAACCGCTACTTTGAGCTGACAGATTTCAACGTCTCTTTTAGCTATCGATCCTTCCAGCTCACTAACTTTGTGCTTTAATTCACTTATTGCTGCATTTTGGCTTTCTAGTTTAGCAATGAGCTCATCTTGCCATGCTGACTGTGCATCCATAGCTGCTTCAATCCCATCAATAGTCTTTCTCTGGTTTTCTAGTTTGTAGATCAGCGCGTCACTTTTCCCAGTCTGCGACTCTAGCGATTTTTCCATAGCATCCATTCGATTAAGAACGGCAGTCAACTTTTGATTGATCGATTCGTTTTGCTTTAGTAGCCTCTCGAATCTAAGATCATGTGCCAGCCCACCCGATGACTGTCCAGAGCTTCCGGGAGGGGTAGACTGTCGCTGTGTGTGGATTTTACAAGTCTGACACTGCCATTCCGTCCGATCCTCTGGACTCATGGCCTTCAAGGCATTCTTTGTCACACCGGAACATTTACCCACATGATACACGTTGTAACATTCAAAACACTTTAAGGAGAGGGCGTCCGATGCGACTGGTTTCAGACAGGACAGGCAATCTCCTTGTTCACCCATTTCAAACTAAACACAGGCAGACTAAACACAGGCAGACCGGCGAAATGAACCGCGGAAGTCGCACAAAAAAAATGAAGGATAGTAGGGCTTACCTACGAAACGGACATTTCAGTGCCCGTAGCCACGCATTTCGCCGGTCTGCAACGTGTCGCACAGCGACAGGGTCTTAAGTAGGCAAAGGGCTCCGATGAGGCTGGTCACGTTGGCGGTAGATGGAATCGGCACGCGCCGTGGTCCGCTGATGACGGTGCAGATAGGTGACGATATCGATCAGGGGCTTGTTCCCGAGTTGTTAAAGACGCCTTGCCCACCGCAGCGCCGTGTCACCGTGAAGCCAGATGATCACCTACGAAACGGACATTTCAGTGCTCGTAGCCACGCATTTCGCCGGTCTGCGAAATAGAAACATTTAATCTAAAAATTGCTCTTTGTTTGCTTGTAGCAATAATAAACCATATATTCTTTTCTTTTAAGCGCGACGGGAGTCCGGGCGAATATATCTAACAAAACACAATCCGCTGTCAGAAGCAGTATAAAAAATAGAATAAGATCAATCTTAATCCTCTCGTTTTCCGTGAGTTCACGACGGCATAGCTTCTTTACACAATAAAAAAATATGTCGAGTATTTTATTCCGAAGGAACACACAAGATTGCTTAAACCGGGTCACTTCCTTCAGCTTTTTTTTTTCTTCTTTTTTTTTTTTTAAGCTGATGGTAGACAAGATGCATTTCTTATCAGATATACGTAGGATTCCGTTTTTCTGTGTTTATTTCTCCTGAAATTAGCAGCTTGGTTTTCGGAGTTAAGTATCCGCTAAAAAGTCTGGGCTTACCGGAGCTTATTTCTGTTAGTTCCTTAATTCTCGGAAATCCGGAGTTTAATTTCATTTTGTGGCCAATTTTTCAAAATTTAAAATTAAAATCAAAAGTCGCGACATGAACGTACCCTACATTCATCAGAACTCACCTTTATCGAACGGTATTTAGTCAGCTGTATTTGGCATTGGCGCATTACTATTGGCAATGCTAACTATTCCACCACAGATGTTGCAAAACGTGTTGCCTCCATAAAAGTCGCTACTCTAAAATGACTAAACTCCTGGACGTGGTCGCTGGGAAGTACGGGAGCTTCAGCTGCACTCTCCCTCCATTGAAATATGCGGGTTCATAGCTATCACTTAAAAACAAATGTACCCCTAGTTCCTCTAACGAGCACACAAATAGTGTGGCCCAGACTAGAAGTTTAAACAACGGCTTTGGTCGTGGCAACGACAACAAACTTCAACGAGCTAAAAGTTAACCCATTTTTGTCAGTGGCCCAAGACTAAAAAAAAAAAAAACTAACACGCTCCTCTCAACAGTGACCTTGTGATTTTATAAAATGTATTTGTAAAATACCTCGTCTTTTATTTTCATCTTTCCGTTGTGAACTAGAATTTCGGAGTTTTCTTGAGAGCAATTTGGCGGCGAACGTTTTCTATGGATTTATCCGATAACACGGAACCTTAGTTAGAGAAATACGCATGAAAAATGTACGCTTAAATATTATCGCGCGTCGACAATCTCTTTAGAGAGTTCAACACATAAAAGGGAAAAGTTCACATAAAGACATACGATATGAAGTGGGATCTGCTGGGTCGTGTGCACGCAGACCTCTTAACATGTATTGCTGGCCATTCACAAAAGTGCTGTACTCCATTTCAATTATGTTGTACCGGAGCGAAGGCTAGAACCGCGAGCTCATAGCGTTGGCAGCTGTCCTCAATGCACGACAGCTTGTGCCGCCCTGACTGTGCCCTAGAGCAAAGAGCTCGCGCTGTTAGCCTTTCCTGCGATACATAAGAGGTGAAATAGAGTATTGTTGGTGATTATTACGTTCCTTAAAAACGGGAATAAAATCATTTGCCTCGTTCCTCCTTAATCGGGGAAAGGGTTCCCGTTACAGGTTCCAGGGGTTAGCAAGGAACATTCGTAAGATTAGAACGTGTTGTTAAATTAATGGTAAATTTTCTTTTTTGAATGAAATAATAGTGCTGGATAATTTAGGGACAAAACGAATCTGTCGAATGAAAATATTCATACAGAACCATGTATCGAGTCCCGACGGTCACATTTGTTCCCGTTTTTTTTTGTTTTCGATAATCCCTCGGGCACTTCCCCATCCCTTGAAATCAGAGGTTGAAATGAACGATAAGAAGGCCTAAAGGCCTAATAAAGTCGGGTAAATTTGCAGTTAAATATAAAAATAAATGAGAAACGAGTCTTCGTTCCAGTACCACCGATGCAAGATGGAGCGATGGCGTTCCTCCTAAGAGGGACGCGTACCGGGAACGCGGTTCCGTAAAACACTGGTGCATTTTAGGTACACAATAAAATAGCGCAAAAAAAAATAGAGACAAGAAAGTAGATAGTCCACGTGTCCCTTCTGTCAATTTTCTTGTTTTTGACCATTTTGCGCTATTTTATTTGTACCCCATTGTAAATTATTTGTGTCTCTACCGGTGACTATTGTCACGGAGTAAACGCTGTTTCACATGTTGCGATCTTTATTTGAAATCGGTGCGATTTGAGTAAAATGTAGATTAAAATCGCAGTCGCGCTGTCGCAGCGGCTCTGCGACTGGTTTTGCAAGGTTGGTATTTTATGGCCGAGTCGGTGCGATCGTTTTCTCGTCAACCAGCCGTTCATTAGCCAGCTTTCATCCGCGATAGCTGCGTATTCAAAAATAAATTTAGGCACCTAAAAGCTTTTTGGTTTAATGCTTGATTATTCGAAATTTCTGGTTACATGTTGTATTCGTAAAACATTTGGCCTTATTACAACTTTTCTTTTGTATTTTAGGCAAAGTCAAACGCGTCGCGTCCGTGTCCGCTGAAACTAGAAGAGCCGGCCGCGCCGACAGAAATCGCGCGGTTGTTGGAGCATGTGAAACCTAACATTGCGATAGCACTCGCAGCGTCGGCTGTAGCACCGATTGTTTTTCGCACAGTCACTGCATGTAAAACATGGTTAAGGCGAAGAGGCGATAAATAATGAACTGACAAAAAAAATTTAGTTCGCAAACTTGTGCCAAACAAAACAAAGAAGGAGCGTCGAGACAGCAGAAAGCGGGCAGCGATTTGGCGGCGGAACAGGAAGCGAGAGCAAGACTGACTCTACGAGGCCACGGGCAGCTCCTTAGCTAGAGTGCTTCGGCATCGCAACAATTTGGCCCAGAAGGTTCAAGCAACGGGCGTTCGGGTTGAGATTGTACAGTCACTTTCGTGAACAAGAAACTAAGACGAAACGATAAAAGTTACGCCCCGAGTAAAAGAAACGCGAGTCCTCAAGTGTTCTGTGACCGAGCGCTGCTTGTTCGGCTCTTCGCGCTGGAATATCGGGCCGAACATTTTTTTTTTTTTCAAATAGCATACGAAAACAAATAATAGCCACTGTATGCAAAAATGTAGACTTTGATATCGGTTCAAAAACGTCGCATTGCAACTTGTTAAACTCACCTTGGAATTCTCCTGCAGCTTCGTCTGACTATCCTCATCGTGGCTGTTGCCGGCGTGCTCGGAGGCTCCAAAAGGGCGGCTAGGGCGGCTACGGCGGCTACAGCGGCTACGCCGGCTACGGCGGCTACGCCCGCTACGGCGGCTACGCCAGCTAGGAAGGCTAGGGCGGCTACGGCGGCTACACCGGCCACGCCGGCTACGGCGGCTACGCCTGCTAGGAAGGCTAGGGCGGCTACGGCGGCTACACCGGCCACGCCGGCTACGGCGGCTACGCCTGCTAGGAAGGCTAGGGCGGCTACGGCGGCTACACCGGCCACGCCGGCTACAGCGGCTACGCCAGCTAGGAGGGCTAGGGCGGCTACGGCTGCTACACCGGCCACGCCAGCTACGGCGGCTACACCTGCTAGGAAAGCTAGGGCGGCTACGGCGGCTACGCCGGCTACGGCGGCTACGCCAGCTAGGGCGGCTAGGGAGGCTAGGGCGGCTACGGCGGCTGCGCCGGCCACGCCGGCTACGGCGGCTACGCCAGCTAGGAAGGCTAGGGCGGCTACGCCCGCTACGGCGGCTACAGCGGCCACGCCCGCCACGGCGGCTACGGCGGCTGCGTAGCCGACAACTACGGCGGCTACGGGCTTGCATACGGAAGCAGTCTGCGCCATGGAGGAGTGTACAGCAGATACGGCGGGCTCGGATCCTACGGCGGACACGGAAGCTTCTATGGTTGAAATCCAAATGAAAACGCAGAAATAAATAACGTTTCCCTTTCTAACAATGCTTTTGATCTCATATTACTCACCACAACACTTTTAGAGTTTACCGATACGGCCCTGTTACGGTTTCAACGAGCAGATTGCATATGGAACTTGCAAATTGGCCCTAGGCTTCGCACTCCCATAAATACGATGTAACTATTTTTCAGTTTTATAACCCTGTGAAAATATCCCTGCACTTTTCCAGGTCTCGATAGCATCATCAGAGTGACTTTTGATCAAAATCGGTGCCCCTTTTATGGACGCAACTTAACCCAAACCAGACTGCTCGAGCGACATCGATGGGATATCCATAGCATGTTGTAGCATATCTCAGACGTCCGAAGGGACACATTTGCTTTAGGAGAATGATTGAGAATGACCATTTACTTCAGTATGAGCCGCGCTCGATTGTCTTCAGGGGGGTGGTTCCTATCCCACAACTACGTCATCAAACTTTGATGACTGAAAGACTGAAATAAATATTCCCCTTTATCCTCGCAATTTCACCGCGGAAAAAAAGCCTTTGAATCTGCGGTGGTATGTGTGAGTATACTTGGGCCAGACTAGGACCTGTACGCCTCTCCGAAGTCATGACCATCCCAACCCGATATCATTTCGTAAAACCCTTTAAAGCGTCCACAGTGTTTCCGTAACGTGCATTCCACGCCATCAAGATCGCCGTTCTTTGCAAACAATAGGTAGGAGGCGGATCTGAAAATGCGGGAACTTCTGCCAGGTCGGAGCCCTCGATGATGAATGGTGTCCAGCATCTCGAGAACCGATGCCCGCGCGGTGCCGTGCACAATACACCCATAATCAAGTTGGGGCCGTACGACCGAGCGGTAGATGCGCAATAAACAACACCGATCAGCCTCCAGGACACGTGCTACAAGACCCTTAGTATATTAAGTGATTTCACACATTTCATTTTGAGGCTCTTAACATATGGAATGAAAGTCGTTTTAGAGTCAAATATAAGACCTAAAAACTTGCGTACGTTGTTTAGTGCAATAGGAACTTCATACATAATTAAAGAAGCCTTAAGCAAAACTCCGCTGCGAAGAGAGAAGTACACACAAACCGTTTCCTCAGGAGAGAACCTAAAACCATCAACATCTGCCCTTTTGACCCAATTGTTGATCGCAAGTTGATGTCGACGGTCACAGATGGTCGGATTACAAGATGAGACTGAAATTTGTGCGTCATCAACATGGAGCGAGTACTGAACAAATGTGTAGAGACCGGCGACCGTCGAGGCCAGAGAGGAACGAACACACACACGCGCCTGGTCCGGGTGGAACGAAACAAGTAACTTCCTCTGCCTCTTTACTCCCTCATATATATACAACCTAATAGTAGCGACCCCTACCACAACATTCCCCTTTCTCAGAATTATCCTTCGTGGATGAACACATCAGGACATACTACCTCACTACAAGTTCAGTCTCTTTGGAGCTACTACTCGACGGCCAGATCTCGTGCGTCGAGGAGTGTGGATCCACACATTCGCTGGTGCCTGACTTGCATCAGCTCTCGGACTTGCCCTTGGCTCTGCGGGAGCTTCCTCGGCAGAAGGCTGCGAAGAGGGAGTTGTAACCAGGCTTCGTTGTTCAGAACCTTGGGGTTGGAGGCCATTGGCTCCATCGGCCGCAGGAACCGGCAGAACCGGAGCTGGCAGGCCGGGAACAGGCTCCGTAGGTTGGCTCCCGAAAGGAACCAGGTGTCGCCGATTTCTCTGCAATACACCCCGCGGAGTTTCGATGACATAAGAGCGTGGGCGTTGTGCTCGGCTAAGCACTTGAGCAGGGCACTGTGCGTCGGTCACCCACACATCTTCGCCAGGTGAAAGTTCCCTGAGCTCGCGCACTCCATGACGACGGTCGAAGTCGGAAGCTTGGCGTCGCTTCGCCGCGCTGTCCCGCTCCAGAAAGACCTGTGACTTCGGCCATGCCGGCTGGAGTTTCTCGGCAGCCTTGGGTACTTGGGTCCGGAGCTGTCGAGCCATCAGCAGCTGAGCAGGGCTAAAACCCAAGACGCCAGGAGTATCTCTAAAGACGAGAAGTGACAAGAACGGATCGTCGCCTTTAACCAAAAGGTCCTTCACTGTCCGGACTGTACGCTCCACTTCTCCGTTTGACTGCAGAAATTCAGGACTGCTAGTGACGTGCTTAAATCCGTAGTCTTCCGCGAATCTGGCGAAGTCGTGGGAGGCAAACTGTGGTCCGTTGTCACTTCGAAGTACCTCAGGGATCCCGAAACGCGCCATGACACTTTTTACTGCAGAAATCACGGCTTGACTTGACGTGGTTCGCAGTGTCATTACTTCAGGATATCGTGAGTGATAGTCCACCATCAGTAGAAAATCTTGGCCGTTTAAGTGGAATAAATCGACTCCCACCTGTTGCCAAGGTAGCTCTGTTGGAGGCGACGTCATGAGAGGTTCAGCCCGCTGTACCCTCGTCGATGCGCAGCGCTCGCACTTCTCGACCATGGTTTTGATTTGATCGCCGATACTGGGCCACCACACCGAGTCTCGAGCCCGTGCCTTGCATCGGTTGACTCCTTGGTGTCCCTCGTGAATGGCCTGCAGGACCTCAGGTCGCAGCAATGCAAGAATAACGAGGCGTCCTCCTTTGAGAAGCACACCTTCACAAACGGTTAGTTCCCCGCGGTAGTTCCAGTACTTCATTAGGTGACACGGAACCTTGGTCTTCTGAGGCCAACCTTGGTCACAGAACTTTGCCAGTGCTGTGCACTCGCCATCTGTTGACTGTTGTCGACGGACCACCTCGAGGCTGACGGGCGCACCTTCTTGGATTGCGTGAACCACGCTCTGTACGTACAGCTCTAGGCTGTCGCAGGTCGATGGAGCTGTTCGGCTCAACGGCGCTCGGGACAGGGTGTCGGCCGTTGCCAGGAGCTTCCCAGGAACGTATAAAATCTGGTACTGATACCGCATCAACTTTATCCTCAGTCGCTGAACTCGTGGAGGAAGAAGGTCTACGTCCATGTCGCCAAGCAACGCAGTCAAGGGCTGGTGATCGGTTTCCACTGTAAACCGCAGTCCCCGGACGTACTCATCGAAGCGACACACGGCCCATGTGACTGCCAAAGTCTCCTTTTCGGTCTGACTGTACCTCTGCTCGGTCGCACTAAGTGACCGTGAAGCAAAAGCCACCGCCCGACGCTCGCCAGACGGTTGATCCTGGAGAAGGACTGCACCAAGACCGAAAGAGCTGGAGTTAGCAGACACTATGGTCGGGTGCTCCGGATTGTAACAAGCCATACAAATGTCTGAAGAGAGCATAGTCTTCAACTTGAGGAAGGCAGCCTGCTGGTTTGGTCCCCAGACCCACCCACTTCTCTTGCTCAGCAATTCTCGAATAGGTGCCGTGACGGCAGACAGATGTGGCAAAAACCTACCTACGTGGTTGACCATGCCTAACAGTCTACGGACACCTCCGACGTCGACCGGTGGATCCATGTGCTGTACAGCCTCCACCTTCTCAGGGTCTGGCATAATGCCATTCTGGCTGACGACCACGCCAAGGAACTTTACACTGGTGACGCCAAACTTGCACTTGGACCTGTTCAGAGTCAGACCTGCTTTCTTTAAGCGGTCGAGAACCTCTGTGAGACGCTTGTCGTGTTCCACAACATCTCGGCCACAAACGAGAATATCATCAATCATATTGACAACTCCATCTTGGCCCTCCAGAATGTACGACATCTGGCGTTGAAAATATTCCGGCGCAGAGGTAATCCCGAAAGGCAACCGACAAAAGCAGAACCGTCCGAACGGGGTAATGAACGTTGTAAGTTCCTGGGACTCACTTGACAGCTTCACTTGGTGAAAATTTGACGTGGCGTCGAGCTTGGAGAAGACTCGTGCCTCGCCCAGAAGTCCAAGCACTTGATCCACTGTCGGCAGGATGTGACGTTCACGAAGCACTGCCCGGTTCAGTCGAGTCAGGTCCACGCATATGCGGTAGCTTCCCGAAGCTTTCGGCACCACTACCATGCCTGCGCACCACGGTGTCGGTTTGGTTACTCTTCGGATTACCCCTTGGGCCTCCATCTTGTCTAGTTCAGACTTTACGACATCGCGTAGTGGGATGGGGACCCCTCGCGGAACGTGCAGCGAGTACGGTACCGCGTTCTGCTGAAGACGAATTGTGTACTGCTCCCGAAGTTCTCCGAGTCCCTGAAAGAGCTGTTTTGAGAAAGTCCCGTCGAGCTCAGTAGGACTGTTTTCGGCAGAAGACTCCGGAAGGTGATCCACAAACTTGACCACGCCCAACGCCTGAATTGCCGGAAATCCCAACAAGCGAAAAACTTGCGAACGCACAACGTAGAGCTTTTGCTTGACGCGCTTGGTTTTCCATTCCAAGGCCGCGACGAACGTTCCTAGCACGTCCAACGGTTGACCGGCGGGTCCTGTCAACTCCCCTTCTGGGGGCTCCAGGCGAGCTGGTATCCCCGAAAACGTACTGGGGACGACGGTGACCTCCGCTCCGCTGTTAACCTTGAAGCTCAGCAGTACGTCGTTGACCTTCACGTCTACAAACTTCGCTCCAGCCTTGGACGGACAACGGACGGCACCAAGCTCCAGCGAAGCCAACTTATTCTTGGCGCGGCAGACAGCTGCGAAGTGGCCCTTCTTGTGGCATTTGTTGCATTGCGCACGGTTAGCAGGGCACTCTGAGCGCGGATGCGGAGAACGTCCGCAAAAGCCGCATGAAGATGCTCTCGCTGCGTCACCGCTTGCTTGCTTCGGCCTTGGCAGGCGGTTCTTCGCAACTTTTGCTGCGTCAATGTTTAACGCTTTCGCTTCTGCTGAAGCTGCCATGGCTGTAGATGCCAACGAGTCCCGCAGCTTCCGGTCCCTCTCTGCGTCCTCGTATTGGCGAACTTGAATGAGCGCTTCGTCCAACGTAAGCTTCGTGTTTCGGCACAGTCTGTCCGACAGCTTTGTGTCTCG